AGGGGGGGGGGGGGGGGGGGGGGGGGGGGGGGGGGGGGGGGTACAGGATGCAGTGATGTCATTGATATTATATTCCTGATAACATTGTATATACCACTACAGAGTGCACAGGACACAGGAAAGCACTAGATGAATGGCTATTGTTTTGTACTTATCTAACAATTATAACAGACCATTATAGCAAAAAGGAAAAGTTTATTTTTACAGTTTACATATACTTTACCTGTAATGAGCTCCTAGAGATATTACATTTAATTGATTGATATGCATTGTTTGTTAATTATTGAATAAACTGAAAGTCTAAAGACTAAAAGGTTAAAGCTGAACCCCAGGATAAGCAAATATTGTCTAAATACGAGAGGCATGTGTATTCTTACTTCGATCTTGTGTATTGTGATTTGTGTATTGTTTCCAGATCTGTGCAGTAATCCTGCTTGCGATTTTGCCTCTGTGCAGTGCACCCGCCCCCCTATAGTTTTCTGCAGGCGGCCTGTAGTGGATGGAGCCTGCTGGGTCCCTCCCATAGCTCTGATCTCTCTACACAGGTTATTTGCAGCACAGTGATGATGTCACCACTACTTTTACAACATAATTACAAAGGCATTTGGTGCACACAATGTGGATTTTGTATCCTTCATGCCCATTGAGGAGTATATGTAAATGGAAATTTGTGTGTCCAGAGTTTAAGCTTTAAGTAGATGTTGTAGTTTGGAGAATCATTATTTAGTAACAATAATGTCTATAATCATAAATATTGCATCCTAGTTATAGAGGATGTGAAAATTTATGTAATTTATGAGCTCACCGATGTGTGTTTGTCAAACAGCAAGATGGTCTAGATTATATAACAAATAAGATGTTTTTTCCATTTTTCACAGCTAACTGATGCTTAGAATTTTTCTGTAGATAGAAAGAAAGAAAGATGGATGGATAGATCGATACATAGAAAGATCGATAGATAGATAGATAGATAGATAGATAGAGGCCTGTAAAATCCCTTTGGTGGTATGTGCCAGAATGACCACATTAATCTAGGTCTGTAGAAAAAAAAACCTGAGTAAGTGGTGCCCTTTCCAAGTCTGGATCTCTTACGTGTCACCTTTAAAGTATAACAGTACTTTTTAAAATACCTTAAAATTGAACTCCAGGCAAACAATAAAACATGTGAACTATATAAAAAAGAGCTGCTTTATCTGCCAAAGTACTATTATTTCTGCTGATTTCATTCTGAGATTTACACAGCCCTGCTATATAGTAAAGTCATAATGATGACACCACTCTCTCTGTTACAGCTATAGACAGAAGAAAAAATACACTTGTGCCCTTTCTACACTCTTGGCCTTTTGTATGGATAGTAAACGAGCAGTTGGAGACTGATGAGGACATCTTTCTGCTCTCTCTACTCTTTTCGACTATCAGCATGTTTTTCTCAGCAATTTGCATGCAGCACACCTGACCAGTCTTGCCCATCCCTCTCCCAGTCTAAGTGCCAAAATCATTCCGGGTTCATTCAAAGGAGGGGAGATCAGCGAACTTCCCTCCGCTCCACTTGCTGACACCTGCCAGACTCTTCCTGGGTCCACAGGAGGGACAGCAGAGTTGGGGTACGTGGCGGGGGCAGTCAGGTGGTGGGCGCACATTTCAGGGGGAAATTGAAGCGATTCTGTGGCTGTAAAGCTGATTCACTTCCATCTGAAAGCCGACAGTCTACTTGTTAAAGTAATGGTAAAAATTACTTCTGAAATTACTATTAATTGATATGTAAAAGCCTTTATGAGATTTTAGTAATTGGGTTCTTTAATTTGTCCCAATTCAACAATTATTGTCATTTTAATTTGAGAACCCTTTGCAGGGTTAAAGTGTAATTAAAGTTAAAACGTTTTTAAGCTATTTGATATGCTGATTAAATCACTGTCAATGAGTGCTGCTCCTTGATGTTTAAAAGTTTTAGTTTCCTGCAGACTTAGCTTAGCTCATCCCCTGATCACTGGTCCTGATATCCTGTTTTTAGGTGGCTCCTTTCCCTTGCAGCATCCTATGGAGCTATCCTTTTATGTGCTAGTAAGACACACACACAGACACAGCAAGATAAGTCATTCCCCTTCTTCCAACTATCCCCTCCTCCATTCTCTGAGCTAGTAGAGGGACAGCTGCTGGAGACTGTGCTCTCCCTTGTGATCTTGTACTGGGCAGAAAGTTCAGGGAAGCTGATCTAAGAGAGCTGAAGTCAGCTGTTTGTAATCATGATGACTGTAAGTGCTTGGGTATAATATAAATAAATACTTTACTGGGCAATATAAATTTTTTTACCTGGATTCATTATGGAAAAAGTTTGAGAGTTTAAAGTAGTATTAAACTCTCAATTTTTTAGATCTTAAGATCTTTTTCCAGATCAAACAAAAATACATTGCTCAACATAGTATTTCTTTACATTTTTACCCAAATACTTACAATTGTCATGTTTCCAACAGCTGGATCCAACTTCCTGTGCAGTACAAGATCACAAGGGAGAGGACAATCTTCAGCAATACTACATATACTAGCCTGGAGAACAGAAGAGGAAGAAGGAAGAAAGAGGAATGGGGAACGGGGGCAGAGAGGGGTTTGCCTTGCCATGCCTGTGTGTTTGTGGAGACAGACACAACTTACTTGCACACACAAGGGTGACTCCATAGGACCCTGGGAGGGGAAGGAGACACTCTAAAACAGGATATCAGGACCAGCGCTTAGGCTACCAGCTGATTCTGCAGAAAACTAAAAATTTTAAACCTCAAGAAGCAGCATCCATTGTAAGTGATTTCATCAGCATTTGAAATAGCTTAAACGCCTTTTGACTTTAATATCACTTCAATATATGGCTCTAGCCTAGAAAGATTTAATCTGTCGGCGTCATTATAGTCATAAAATACAGGATTTTAGGAGAATCCCATGATCCAATTCCTTTACGCTGATTGGTAAATTAATTCATAGGAAATTATATATGTCTAATAGCTTCTTTGGGGAGGAATTGATGAAAATAGTGTACTTTGTGAAACAACATGGATAGTCCTCTCTATGTCAACCAAAAACAGGAAAATTCGAACAAAGAAGGTCATGAAGGTTTCTGACCATGGTGGTCCATCACTTCAGGAGACAGCACAACTTTCTTTTGATATCTCTCTGTCAATGCATACTACTGAAGCAAAACTGCTGCTGTGTGTGGCAAGTTTGTTAGGTAGCCTGATCCTTAAGGAAATTGTCTTGATGATAATAAGAATTAGATTAATTGTTTAATTAAGTGTTAGTTATATCTCGAACACCTGCCTAATTGGTTGCTCTGGAGTGCTTAAATTTAAAGGGTAGTGGATTCTCATGTAATCAAGGTAATCAAGACCAGAATGTGGTTACAGTGTATTTTAATTTAATATGGCTTTGCTTGGAAAGTTACCTATGATAAAATATCTTATAAGCTCCGCAGTACTAAATTTCTAGAGTTATATTCTGAAGGGAAAGGCAGCAGATCTTAATACTGTCAAAAAATAATTACTGAAGATGATGTGATTAAACACATAATACATATATCTGCTACCTCTGCTTTAAAGCACTGCACCCACACCGCAATAAAAAAAAACTATCCGAGCTTAAGGCATTAATTCCTAATGTACACCATGCAAAGTACTTAATGTGATTTAACCATGTTCCCAAACTGCCAGTTTTCTGCTTTCCTCTGCGGATTTCTCATCAGTGTTAGTGGGCCCACAGAGGACTCTGATGATCATATTCCGAAAACAGCTATATGTAATTAAATGTATTGTGTTGTTTTTTACACCAGGCTGCCTGTTGTTTTGTATTTGCTTAATGCAAATGAGCTTCTACTGATGGTGTTAGTTTAGAACACCTGCTCTCTGTTTACATATATCATCAGGGCTGCAATCTCTCATTTTTGGCAACTTCATGGCGTGATGTGACACTATAAGAAGGTTCCGAGTCATTTTCTCGTATTATAGTACAAATGTTATAGGTGCAAGTTGTAAATGGAAAAAAATAAA